GAAGGCCCAACCCAGCAAATTGGAAACTCAATCTTGTGTGGGCTTTGACACAGATAACAAAATCTATAGAAAAAATAACTTCACTTTAGAACACATCATCTTGTCTGGCTAGGTGGCAACCCCTGGGTTGTCTCTTTAACCCGCGCCACAGATAACAAAATCTATAGAAAAAATAACTTCACCTTAGAACACATCATCTTATCTGGAGGGTGGCAACCCCTGGGTTGTCTCTTGTATAGATTGTGTGTTTGACTCCTGGCTCCGGCGATTATTTTTTAGTCTTCAGCAGACTCCCGGTTTCGTTCGTACGTACGGGACGAGCACATATGTCCGTGCATTGCAACGGGAAAGAAAATTAGGGTTATGTGCAATCACAATGATTCATAGCGAGTACACTATGAAGAAACGCTAGTTGTTCCACCTATGTATGCAAAGAAATGCTGATTGTCCCATTCACCTAAACATCCAACAGTGCTACCGACGGCAGGGAGGCGCACGCCGAGGTCTAGAAGAAATACATATCAACCGCACAATCACAAAAGGAGCCATAGTGTAGTTGGGAATTCCACGTAAGGTCATCGGTGCATAGGGTAGTTGGGAGTTCTTTTTTTGTGGGGAGTAGTTGGGAGTTCCCCGTAAGGTCATCCGTGCCTATTAGACGCCCAGACCACCGACGGTCATCTGGACATCGCCGGCTAGCCATGCCTCGCTTGATGCAAGGCCGTCTTTTGCCCCGTACAACATGAAATATTCATTCATCTGTTTCTTGGCATAATTAGAATTTGCATCCATGCATAGGCCCAACAAAACAACGGGAGGAACCCGTCAGGCGAAGGCCCAACCCAGCAACGTGGAAACTCAACCTTGCGTGGGCTTCGACTTTGTGTGGGCTCTTTAACCAGCGTCACAGATAACAAAATCTATAGAACCGATAACTTCACATTAGAATGCATTATCTTGTCTGGATGGGTGGCAACCCCTTGGTTGCCTCTTGTATAGGTCGTGTGTTCGACTCCTGGCTCAGGCGATCCCTGAGGACTGCAAGCTTCATGATCCCCTAGATGTTGCCCTGCATCACCTTTAGGGGCCCCTCCCAGCATATCCGTTGTTCTTCTCTGGCGGACAACCGATCAGTTCGCTGTTGCGGCGATGCTGCGAGATTCTGATGGTGGTGACAGCGGCCAGGAGGCAACACCTCTCGGTATACCAGCCAACAACAAGATTTTAGCTTGGTTCAAGAACCAACAAATCTCTCCCCTCACCCAAAGGGGAGGAAACAACATTTCACAAGACGGTAACTAAAAACAACAAACAACATACAAGAAAACCAAGCCAAAAAGAAACCAACCAAATATAGAGTTTACGCATAGCCAACAGGCCATCCATGACACACGAGTATATAGTGTTGATAGACAAAGACATCGACACACAAGACAACAAGTTCCATTTGCAGGGTGGTCGCGAGCCCAGAGTGCCAAAGCAAGAATCGTCATGTGATTCCACGCTTCCCCCTCCAAAAGCCCAGCAACTGCTGAATGCTGACTACATCTTGAGAGATACATCCCCCGCATCATGCCAGATCACACGGGGCTATGCTCTTTTGGCTTCAATTACTGCTACTTAGGACCCAAGGCTGCAATCTGCTGCTCCAACTACATCAAAAGAAGAATAGATTATTATGATAGGTCTACGAAGTACAGTGCTGCTTAAGTGGGTACATGGCAAAGGTTAAGTTGAGCTGGGAAACAAGGAGATACAACTGCTTTTTTTGAGCTAATGTATACATCTAACGAAACATTGTGACAAAATTAAGGCAGAAACATTCAACGACCAAATGGGACTTTCGAAAACCTCGAACTAAGTGCTCCAGAAACCAAAAAACATATTGCTATAAAAATTTCAACAGTAACAAAAATAAGATCAAGGCTATTATTGTTTTTTATCTTAAGCAATATATGACCAGTCTATGTATTTACGATACTTGTGAGAAGTTGGAAGTCAAAAGCCAACATAGACGCATAAGATGCTACCTGCATAATGGCCTGTAGCCTGCCGCGCACATCATAGAACTCGTTCCTAAGAAGATTCAATGCCGTGAGACACCTGAAATAATGCAAACACACCACATTGTCACGTTCTGAAGGGGTTAAGCAAACTGAATTGAAATGCTTCGGAAATTGTAACCCGTTGTTTGAGAAAGAACTCTAGCCATCTCAAAACTTAGTTGTGGTATAAACAGAAGTCTAGAGTAACAAGTTACATGAGAATTATCAAAGAGGCATATATTGAGATAAAGAAGTGAGTTATATCAATCACCTTATTGGAGATGAAGTGAACAAGCAGGTTAGTTCTTATGAACCTTAGATTAATATGAGCCAAAAATAGTGTCATAAAAGACAAAATAAGCTTGCAGGTTTCACAGAGGGGATTTGATAATCACATAGAGTAGAGAATAATTACTATGCAACATATATAGTAAGGTATCAAGAACTGACCCTTCTTTGTTTTTTGCCTTGTAGAACTGGCGAAAGTGCTCGCAGGCGAGGTTAACTTTCCTAGCACCAACACTGATACATGCTAAAAAGAGCAAGATCAAGAAACTGAAAATTTCTCAAACTTAACAAACGCTAAGGAATGTTGATTCACATAAGCATAATTGCGGTGTCACAATAATATTGGGGGAGTCATTCATCATGGTTATTACCAAGATATTTTTTTTTGATAAACCGGAAAAGAAAACAACATTGTTGGCCTTATGTGCGATAGCAGTTAGTAGTGCTAGAGATATTTATAAAACGATAAAATTTCCCTGGCCTAACAGGATGAATATCGGCATTTCCATTTGCACAGAACACAACTAAACTCGTCTCTTGGAATTATGGCTAAACGACAACACAAACTGCACAAGGCACATACCCACAACGTATACACACCCACGACGACAGATCCAAATAGAGACAACATCAATGTATGTAGCGGAGAAACACCCATTGGCGTTACATAGAGCAGGAGATCATTAATACGTTGTTGAATATCACATTCAATAGTACGAGAAATTTCCACAAGACGACAAAGTTTTCCTAGACAAGTTTTAGCATTGCCATTGGCAGGAATGCCGACAATTCCATCTTATGAAATATGGAACAAAACTAAACTCAGCTCTTCTATTTATGTGTATACGACAACCGCAAACGACACAACACCGACACATCCGAATAGAAATGTGGACAGACGAGGAAAACCGCCACCACCGTTATCCTGAATAGCATATCACTAGTAATAACATGATGGCTCACAAGACGACAAAGTTTCAATTTCTCGTCGAGCCATAACATTGCCGTTGGATGAATACCAGTACCCCCGTTAGGTACACAACAATTATTTCCTTAACGAGTTTTAGCATTTTGCCATTGCCAGGAATGCCGACAATTCCGTTATACTAAACCCAGCTCGTATATTTATGCGTATACGACAACCGCAAATGACACAGCACCGACACATCCTAATAGATTTGTGGACAGACAAGAAAAACCGCCATCGCCGTTACGCTGAATAGCATATCACTAGCTAATACCAGGAAGGCTCGCAAGACGACAAAGTTTTAATTTCTCGTCGAGCCATAAACATTGCCGTTGGACACTTATACTTATGGCTACGCAGTAGTGCGAAGCCGCAAACAACACCTACCAAAGGGTAATGCCCATGACAAACACATCAGAATCGATGCAGTGGGGAAATAAATCACCTCCAGCTGCACGCCTTGAGCTGGTGCACCAGTTCGCCCACCATTTCGAAGTCGACGACGGGCAGGTTCGTGGGAGGGAATCAGAAATTAAGCAGAGGAGACGAAATCATCAATACTCAAGACGATCGGGATAAGGAGAGCAGAGGGCTTGGGCGCGGTGGTACGGCACGGACAGAAGGCTGGTGATATCGTTGAGCATCCTGTCGGCGTCGCCGAGGAAGATGTTGATGACCTCAGGGACGAACCCCTCGTCCTGTGGCGACTGCAGCTGTTGGTAGTACTCGTCCAGAATTCCCTGGATCCATCAGGCCAAGTCAGAAGACAGCCATACAGCCATCCGGGGCACGAATTCCAGCCCCAGGGCCACACGGCCGCGCGCTACAGAGTTGAGGGGAGGGATGACTCACCGTGGCGTACATGTAGCTGACGTGCTCGTTGAGCTGGCTTCTTAGCGCGGCGGCCGACATGGCGAAGCGAGGAGGTCCGGGAGTCCGGCGATCCGGGAGACAGAGGTCGGAATTCGAAGCTGCTGGCGGAGTGGACGAGGACAGGAGAGGAGTGCAAGTCACGGAGGCTCTCTCACGGAGCCTTTTGGCAGGGAGTGCTCGTTAAACTCTACTGTGCTGGCCGCTATCAATGAAGAGCTTGGAGAGGAGTGCAGGCAGGTCACGGTGGCTCTCTCACGGAGCCTTTTGGCAGTGAGTGCTCTACTGGCTGGCCGTCATCAATGAAGAGATTAAAGTTGAAGATGGCATACGTGCGTGTGCATGCAGCTACATTTTGGTGGATGAATGGATGGATGTCGGGCCAGTAAGCTACAGGTTGACCACGACAGCGTCAGCCAGGCAAGCAGATGCTAGAAGGGCTTGACCACTCGTTCGGCCCTTAGCCCATGCCCCACTGGTCATTGACGGAAGGGAGTGTTGCTTTTGCAATGCATAGCCCCTCACTAAATAGTAAACTAGATCCGGATCGCGCCTTGGCGCGAGGGTGTCTGTTCAAACATTTTGGTCAAGCAGGTAATACTAAGTCCTAAGTCCAGTAGTAATCTTGGTTTAGCATATACATTCATACAGGGTAACAATACAATGAAGATTCAGTACAATAATGTTCATCTAAGGTTGTCTGAATTTCAGTTTCACATGAATATATATTTACTAAAAGACTTCCACTATTTGCACCAGAAGGCATCGTAAATGGTCCTCCAATGTGTTCTTGATGCCGAGCCCTACAGAGAAGGAAGAAGGGAACATGCGATCAAAGAGCACTACAAGAAAACTGAGATACTGTGTCGAAAATCCTCGTGACGGAGATGGACAACGTCATGGAAATACCTAATGTGTGATGTTTTCGTGGGTGGCATCATTGATTACCGCAAATCAGAGACGATAGAAGTCACTAAGTCGTTTCAACCTTTGAGCGCACCTGGCTACCAATTTCTACGACGGTTTGGTAATTTCTTTGACGAACCTAATAGATTCGTCGAATATTGCGAATGTTTTATGATAAAATTTTCTCAACTAGTGTCTACCGATGGGACCCGCCATAGCTGCTTCCACTAGTAGAAAATAGGGCTTTGGTCACAACTCAATATACAAATTAGTCCCGGTTGCATTACGAACCAGGGCTAATGTGAGCATTAGTCCTGGTTCGAGCGGCTAAAGGCATTAGTCCCGGTTCAAATGAGACCTTTAGTCCCGATTTGAGACACGAACCGCGACTAAAGGGTGCGATGCTCTTTAGTCCCGGTTCGTGTCTCAAACTGGGACTAAAGATTAGACCTTCAGTCCCGTTTGAGACACGAACCGGGACTAAATGGTGTGATGCCCTTTATTCTCGGTTCGTGTCTCGAACCGGGACTAAAGAGGTTCGTGTCTCAAACCCTACCACCCCCCTTGTATCGCCATTTCAGTTTTGAAAAAAACAAAAGAAAATGATAAAAACTTCAAAAAATAAAATCCTTCGAGATGTAGTTATATTACTACATCTACTAGTTAGGAAAATTTTAAAACTTAAATTTGGACATGTTTTGTAAAAGTAAAACGGCCATAACTTTTGCATACGATGTCGAAAAAATGTAGATATATCAAAATGTTCAGCATGAAAATCCGCATCCGATTTTGCTGTCGTAGGCCTATTTGCAAATTTTTAGAATCCTCAAATTTTAAAAGAAAAAAAGTTATGCTCAAATTTCATTTTTTTAATTTCGGTTAAATCTGGTCAAACTATGGTCAAACTACTTATTCAAGAAGTATTAGTGTTACTAAATAATTATTCAAGAATATTAGTTTTACTAAATAACTATTTTAGTTTTTTTTTGAATTTTGGTCAAATCTGGTCACACTATGGTCAAACTACTTATTCAAGAAATATTAGTGTTACTAAATAATTATTGTTTTTTAGAATAATAGTTTCAAATTAAAACAGTGAAACGTGTGACTTCATGCTCAAGCTAAACTCCTGAGGGTTAATAGGATTGATATCTTACTATTGTCAGGAAAACAACAAGTGCAGACTTGGAAACGAGGGGGAATAGAACCCGAAAGTTAAGCGTGCTCAGGCTGGAGTAGTGAGAGGATGGGTGACCGGCCGGGAAGTTAGATAATTTGGAATAATGAGGGGTCATTAGAGATTAGAAGTTAAATTGAGCAGTGATGAGGGGTGTTTAGAGATTAAATTGTAAAATAATTCAGAAATTTGAAAATCGGGAAAAATTAAAAAAATTAAAAAGAAAATCATAAAATTTCCTTTGGTCCCGGTTGGTGTCCAGACAGCAGCCACGTGGTGGGCCTTTAGTCCCGGTTCGTAACAGAACCGGGACAAATGGGCCTTTTTCTACTAGTGTTCATGGCTTATTGAGCGGTAGGACCTGTGTACCAATGTTGGCAGTATGACCCACCTTGTTTTTTTAGAGTCTAGTGAGCTCTATAAATATTTTCTTCCATCTAATATAGATAGGTAATAGCCAGTGAAAAACTTATTTTGTTCCATCTAAAAAAATAGATAGTGGCCGGGCAAAAAAAAACTTGAAACCATGCATTCATGATTTGATGTTATTTCGTTCTATACAAAAATAAAAATGGAAATATAAGTTAACAAGTAAAAGTTTGGTACACGGGGTTTGAACCGGGGACCATTATGGTCTGAGCAAACGGCGGTGCTAATAGGCTAGAATTTTATTTAGATACTTATATGTATTTAGATACTATATGCATCCGAAAAATAATATTATGGTCATTGACCGAAGGGAGCGTCCCTTTTGCAATGCACAGCCTATCATTAAGAAGTACATTGCATACATATACTATATGTTACTTTTCCTAATGCATATTCTTGGCATGTTGATATCTTTTACCTCGAAAACATAAATACATAAAACACATAAATACGTAATGATGTTGGTTTGTGCTAAAACAAGGAAAGAAATCATGATTTCATCAATGCAAAATGCCAAATCAATTTGTAGATTTTTTAGTGGTATTCACATCGGACGTGGACTTTAATTTGGAACATGGTTCCACAGGATCCCCCTGCGAATAGTAAATTTGGAAAACATACTTGGACAAAAAATCTGATTTTTTTTGTAAGATATGTAGCCGACCGATATACTCGCGTATGAAGCTTCATGATGAAATGATATCCGTGGTATTCTGAGCAAAAATGAAGAAACGATGCTATAAAAAAGGCAACTGCTAGGCGTCAGCCGAAAAGGATCAGCCGCTTCGCCAGCCATCGATTCACCCTAATAAGAACCCGTTTGATCCTCCTGTTGAGTTGACCATGCCATCTCTTCAATCCCCATGTACGCAACATCCGCATAAGTTGCAAAAAAACACCTGCATAAGTTGCAAAGAAGCATCCCCGATTCCCAACCCATGCCCTCGTGTAGCTCTAGTGGGGGTATCAGCTTCCGTCGACAGAGCATGTTGTAACATAGCATCCTACACGACTCTGGCGGCAGCTCATAAGCTCATCACGCTCGAGCATGCTGCAATGCAACACCCACGTGACTTCGGCTAGCAACCGCGCTAGTCCATCTTGCAAGCACAACGGTGGCAGCATGCGATGCTACATCACAACTCCTTTCTTCCTGCTCGCCACGGATCTCTGGCTTGCAGCACCCTGACCGGGCTCTATCGCAACCTTGAAGTAGCCGACGCTCCAAGCTAGGGGCCATATGACACTCCGGTGAGTGGCCTCGAAGTACGAGCACATTAGCTGCTATGACCACCCGTTGAACCAACGACAACTGTTGCATTGTCGGCGAGCTCTTAGGTTGCAGCATCGGCCGCGGCTACCACGCCGACAAGCTTGTGGTAGCAACGTCAACGAGGCTCTGCAGTTGCAGCATCGGCATGTGAGTGCGGCCTTGTAACATTGGCCTCTAGCAATGCTAGATTGCAGCAGGCCAGCAGCCATGGCAGCTGCGACGACCGGCTACAATAGCATACACCGATTGCAGCACTCTGGCGAGGATATAAGGTTCCAGAACTAGCAAGTGCTGCCACGAGCGGCTTCCTGGGCCAGATCGAGTAGATGCTACGGGGGAGATCTGATCAACACGCTGGGGGTAGGAGAAAAAAAATAGCGGTGAATGCTTTGTTGGTCGGGAGCTGAGGTGCGCTGGCCTCAGCGGGATGTGTGGCAAGCATAGGAGGCATCTCCAGGATTTTCCAATAAAAACACACTTTTGAACGAATAGTATAATCCTGATTATATTTTCTTCACTAACAATACCACGGGTTCTCATTCGTTTATACAACTTCATATGGGAGTAGAATGGTCAACCAAGTTTGATACCCCAAATTCCAAGATTTTTTTGCATTTCTCTAGTATTTTTTTTTCTGATTTTACAAATCATGTGGGTGTGCACCTTTGTATTCCGGTATTCACACCCTTTTATGTCAATGTAAGGCATTTATCTTCTCTCGCGATTGGTGAAGATCGCTAAAATGACTAGAATAAATATGACCACAACATATTTTCTCTGCACCCATTAGTCTCTAGCTTGAAAACGTAATATGCAAGAATATTTGCAGTTTGGCAAGAAGACAATATTATTAGTGGCACAAACTATTCATACCTATGTAATGAATATTTTTAAATTGCTGGCACATGACTCTGTGATGATTTGACTTGTATGTTGACACAATATTGGTGGTGGTTGGCGGTGGGTAGAGAATAATAAAAAGGAAAAATGTCATGGTTATCATGGCACAAATTAGTTCTTTTGAATGCAAAATGTGGCTTATGCTTTAGAGATATATGCGAGCATTTGATCAAGCCCTATTAGTAAACAAGCTTTGTTGATTCTGGACTCTTTGAGAAGCATATATGTGCAAGGCTTCTCAGATAGAACTATTATCGTAGTGGTAATTTGTTGATACTACCCCCGTCTAGGTGAATAAGTCATTCGCGTAGTTCTAGGTCATCGATTTGAGGAATTAAATATGTGTTATATGTCATG